AAAGATCTGAACTTTTTTTAAAGCAATCGTACTGATTTAACTGCATAGAGACAAAATATAAAGCGCGTAAGCGCCGCGTCTCTGTCTAACGAATAAACATTGTTACGGAACCCATGGGTATGTAAACAAAATTTATACTTATTGTTAAAATCTCTATAAAATATCTGATAATTTGATGTGCATATATCTACTGATTATTTTTGACCGCCAAATGGCATTTTTTTTACTTTTTTAGTTAGATCTCCGAAACCGCTAGACCTGTCTTTTATGAAAATTTGATCAATTCTTCATCTTGTCAATACAAGTAGAATGTTTTTTTAAATTATTGAAATCGGACGCTCCGTTTCTTAAACACTGAGTTACCGTTTTCGGCACTTTTTGCCCCGTATCTTTGGAACGGCTAGACCTGCCTCCGCCAAAAAACTTATCAGCACGTCTCCTTATCAATACGAATCGAATGTTTTTTGAATTATTCAAATCGGTCGATCCGTGTTCCCAAAATCGTCCACGAAATTTTGTATCCAAACACACACACATACACGCACGCACACATACACACACACATATACATCCATTTTTTCTAAGGTATGTGTAAAGATATATAAAAAATTTCATTTTTGATTTTTTTGCGATTACTATAACTTGCCCTATGGGAAGTTAATCATGATGCACTCAATACTTTGTAATTGAAATCATACGCTAAATAAATACTAATGATCAGTAATTTAGAAATTATATTAAGGTCTCGTAAACTAAACAACGTTACTCACAACCAAAACAAATAACAATGAAAGAAAATACTTCTATTATTGAAAAATATTATTCCTACTTGTTTTTGAGATATCGGTGGTGGAACTTCTCACCCCGCTAATCCAATATATTTAACATTTTTTTATGTTATACATATTATTATCAATTAAATAGTAAGTAAATAAACATACTATTCTTTATATGTTATAATTTTGTATAAAAATCACATAATGTTAATTGATGTTTGATAACACTTATAATAGAATTTCGATTTAAAAAAAAGCTAAATTCTTTACATTCAACTTGTTATGGAATGGGAAAATTATATTATCCTATGTTTTTTTAAAAAAATGCATATTTAACTTCTTATTTAATGATTATATAATTATATACTAACTTTTACTGATTATCAAATAAAAAATTTGCAATATTTTCCAATTTCTGCATCAAATTCTCTTAACATCAGCCACATAACTATATATCTGTATGCACGACCGCATTTCTAGCAAAAGGATATCGAATAAGGATCCTTCGTCCTCTCATGTGCCTCACAATGAGGTGAGGTACAACAAAAGGACCATCGAATTCCTTCCTAGCATGCAAAGTGAGTTTGAATATCTTAACAATTATTTGGAAAACCTTATTTATCTGAAAATAGAATGTAGAATCTATATGTCTTATCCGGATAATGCGACGATAACTATCTTATCCTAAAAATAAATATATAGATATATAAAATTAGAATTATTTGAGATTAGATATGTAGTAAAATATCATTTTGATTTATATCTGTTATAACTTGTTATTGGAATCATAGTTTATACAATTTTATTTTAAAGCTGTTTTTGTTTTTTAATGTTTTTTTATTCATTGATCTTCCTTACTTTGAGCATTTAGCCATATCTAAAACTTTCTATTTTAAACTATTTTATACACTCTTTATTATATCGAACAATATGTCTAATATACCATGACTATCTCTATTATTATTGCAGTAAACGGAGAGGAAAAAAGGGTATAACCTCTGAATTTTTTTACTGTGTTTCGAATTGAATGAAATTTTGGAATTAGGTTCATCTTACCCTCAAGTTCAAAAGTGAAAACAATTCGGGTTGCGCCATCACCCCCCGGGGGGATGACACCCCTTCTCAATTGTGTAATTACAATTTTTCAAATTAACATCGGAAATCGATAGAAGAACTAATTATAAGAAAAAAATGTCTTTTATAGTTTTTTAAAAAATCTAATACTTTTCAAGTTACTGGCTACTAAAGATTCATATATTTTTGGCGTTTTTCTTCGTTTTTTTGCAAATATCTCCTAAAATATACATTTTAACAAAAATCATGTAATGAACAAAATAATGTCAATAAAAATCTTAATAAATCGGTATTACATAAAGTGTTCTAGGAAAAATATTAAGCAAGATTTGAAAGAGCAAAGTTGTTTTTTATTTCGTTCAAGATTTAATTGTTGTATTTAAAGCCATCTAGTGTCGAGGTTTTACATTTTATGCATTTCGGTGAAATTGGATTTTATAATGCTCAACATAAGCTTTAAAATGAGTGCTGTTACAAGTTTTTTGCGTGTAAAATGAGTGAGCTATCATGCAAATAAGAAGCATATACGAAGTTTTTTCTTTTAAATCATGTGGTTTATTGAGCGCCATTTCCACCAGAATTAAAGTAATTCACATTCCATCTAGAATTCACTTCATTATACACATCTTGATGGATTCTAGCAGATTCACGACTTTAGTACAAACTATTTTCAGAAAACTCACGATTTTATAAAAACTTTTAAAGATGTGTATAATGAAGTGAATTCTAGATGGAATGTGAATTACTTTAATTCTGGTGGAAATGGCGCTCATTAAACCACATGATTTAAAAGAAAAAAAACATTCAAATTCTGTTTAACTCGGCGCATTTTCTACTTCCTCATTTTTCTTTTCTTCTAATGTTGTTCTAATTTCTTCTAATCTTCTAATTTCTAATTCTATACACTACTCTTATCATTCTTTATTTCTTCGTTCTTCTTTTTATCTTCGCGTATTTTGTTCTATTTGCTTCTTTCTCCTGATTGACCATTCAAATTTTGTAATTTTGATTTTAACAATACAAATTTGTTATGTTCTTAATATACCAAACGCCAGCAGTTTTTCACGTTGTCTGACTCTAATAATGTTATAAGCATACAAATGTTATATTCAAATACAGTTCGAATAATATTATTTAAGAAAAACTGATTACATACAATTTTACAAATTTATTATTCACATATTTTTATGTATACAGCAACTACACTACATATTTCTTACTTATTTTTTTCCCACGTCGAGACTTAATTTGTTTATCAGCAGTATTCTCCTTTTTCTTTTTTATAAAAACTATGTACTAGCCTTAATTTTTTATATGAAGAATAAGTGCATTTTCACCAAGATATTCAATATACGTAAACATATTTAAATTTATTATTTTAATATTTCTATTAATTTTGAACTTGGTTTAGCTACCATTGGTTTCAGGTTTAATACCCACCTTCTTCAGTGATATCTGATTTTCTCTTGATATTCATTATATATCTCAAATATGAGTTCAAGAGAAAATAGCATTTTGTTAATTTTTTGAATAGTAAGTGAAAAAACGAATTAAGTATATCAAAAAAAAAAATAATAACTACAAAGAGAAACTAGTAAGTTGCTTTCTAATAACTATCTATTAAATTAGCAAAACTGAATGTGTTCATGTAATAAGAGACAAATTGTAATTAAATTACAAATAAAAAACGGCAATTAAAATATTATTTATATCATGATATCAATTTTCCACTTTGACAATACTTTGTATACTATTTTCTAAATTATGTCCTATAATCTATTATTATACATGTTAATGTATATCCATTACTGTATCTTCTAGGATTTTTCTAGACTCGTATTACATTACATATTCTGTTTTTGTTATTATTAGCATACTGAATTAATAAGAGATATCCGATACTATGCTTAATTAATGGAAATATATACAACATCTTGTTTGTTCTGATAAAACATTAATAGAATATTTCAGGCATAGTAATAAATCTGCTTTAAACTAGCAGAGAAATATTTTATAAATTAATTTTTCTATTTTTCTATTTTTATCTTCAGATTGCTTGTAGATTCTTGTTTACTTGCAATCGTTTTATTAAATGATTACTTTTAGAAATGGTAATTTTATTTTGCTTTGTCAATAGCATGTAATTGCTATTTATTATAAGACTTCAGAAGCATTACAAGAAATAGATTGCATAGCATTGGTCTTGGCAATTTTATTTTCTGTATATTTTTAATAATTTGATATTGCCTTTTAATGAATTCAAAATTGTTTATGCTTACACACACACACACACACACATATATATATATATATATGTAAAATATCAAATTTGATTTTGATATAATACGATGAGTTATGTTAAATGATCGGTCATTAATAAAAATTTCATGAAATTTTTGCAAAAGTTTACCAATAATAGTAATAATATAATATAAAAATACAATAAAGTAAATTATAAAACAATTTAAGTTATTTGAATGATTGATTTACAAAAACACGTTGATACTTTTTTATTAAATATAGCATTGATACTCCTTGATATGAGGATGTGCACTAAGCAAATATTCCAAACTCAAATAATTGCAAAATAGAGTAAGCAAAGCTACTGCAAAATTACCAAGTACTTATAGGTGCTTTAATAACAACAATTGATTATCAAATTAATACAATTTTATGTTCAATATATTTACTCATAAAAATAAATTTATGCAAATGTTTCTAAGTCCATGTACACATAATTATTGTAGAATTTACTTGCTACATTAACAATATTATTATGATTTTTATTTTTCATTTTTAAAAGGTTTAGTTAGTGTTAACTAATTTGTTCAGTTTAATTAGGTTGTTATCGTATCATATTTATATTATCATCAAAATTCATATGTTATAATTTCACTGGTAAGGGATGGCCAGCGTGCAAACAGGTCCAATGTTTTATTTTAATTTTAAAGATATTTTACAAAATAATAGCAACATTATCCAACCAATGCAAAATATAAATTTTATAGGTTGAATTTTTTAGAGATGTGCATTTAGAGACTGTAAATAACCTTGATCTGGTATTTCTTCTCAACATTATAAATAATTATCAACAAAGTTGGAATAACTATTTTTATTAAATATTTTATTAATAATCAATTTTTTTCTCAGGTGCTGCAGACAGTAAGCTCCAGCCGTTGGACGGCGGTGGAGGCTACGATGATGATCAGCCGGAGCACGTACCTCTGGACCGAGGGCCGTACTTTGACATAACAGCATCTAAAAATGTTACCGCCCTAGTTGGCAAAAGGGCGCATCTTAACTGCCGAGTACATAACCTAGGAAATAGAACGGTTAGTGGAAAATTGATGCATAAAATAATAGTTTTGTTAAAGATTCACGTTTGAACGTTATATATTATGAAAAATTCTAATATTTAGATCAGTTTATATATACATACATATATATATATATATATGTATATATATATATATATATATATATTTATATATTTATTATAATATATATATATATATATATATCACACTCACAATCAACTCTTCATTGCGTGATGGTTGAAATTATTATCTTCATTTATTTTCTTCGAATTAAATATTCTTTATACATGTTTTTTGAGAAATATTCTTTTTATACGAGAATACTTTTTTGGGTCTGTGCTTAAATAATTTGAGTATTTTGCCCACTGAGAAGTCAAATTAGGACTCAAAACATATAAATCTATTAAAATTATTTTAAGATTCTAAATATTTTTATTTTTATTATTTGAAGGGATGTCTGGTTAAGAAATTTGCTTAATTGATTTTTTTGTCGAGAAAATCCTCGTTTCAGAATTCAGAAGAAGAAACGTTTGAAACCAAAAAGCTAAATCGATTTCAAAAATTGAAAAGCCATACTATATAACACTTGATTAGTAGGAGTCCTGATTAGATTGAGGAGGCATTGGCCAAGTCGTTTCCTTGGACTGAGCAGAAAAGTGCAAAGTTTAGTTTTAAAAAGTGCAAATGTCTAATTCGAAAATATCAATTGAAAATTTTCATAATAACTAGTTAAAAATTTTATTCAAATAGCCAAATCTCAATTTCTGCTAAGTCAGTTATTTACACGTGAAGTTAATGGAAGTAGATTTCTGCCAAAATTTCACTCACGCCTAGTAAATCAAATTTTTCATTTATATTAATATAAATGTACAAATCTAAAAAATTTTTTTTATTATTTTCCTTTATATTCGCTATTAGGATTATAATAACTGTAGGAGTTCAGGCCATTTTTTTTTTTTAAATATACCTCACTTGTTTGCAACTTGATTTTATACAAAATTCCACTTATGCCTAGCCATAACTCCCATTTATGAATGCGTATAAATATAGAAATAAAAAAAGCTTATTTTATTATTTTCCTGTGCATTCGCTATCAGAATTATAATAATTCTATACCATTCATTCTTTAAAATATTATACTTAACTTATTTTTTTGAATAGAATCTGAAATACTGCAAACACATATATACTTAGAAAAAATAAACACCCTCGGATATATATTTAAATTAGCATAATTAATTAAATAATTTTAAATTAACTGCTTTCACAAAAAATATTTGAAACGAGTTCAGCTTTTGAACAATTTGATATCATGTTCAGCGCAGAATAACGTTATTTCGCGATCATGTTCATTTAATTCATAAATGCAATCAAACTTTAATTACCATCAACACAGATTATATAGGTGAAATAGAATATATACAAAACAAGTTTATATAATACAGCAAAATAATATTGCGTTTTATATTTCAAGCGACATTCAATTCTATAATAAAAACAGCAAAATGACAGCAGTAAAGTGTTCATAATTAATACACATAGTTCAGAGCAAGCCATAAACGTTTTTATGTTTTTGTCATTCGTTCATAAATTGTGTGTCTGATTCGAGCAAAATTGCATCATAAAATATGAATTATTGTCGGTGGTTAATATCATGCTGGATCTGGACGGATTATAGATAATATTTAATTGCAGAGATATATATTTATTGTGAAGCGGCAGGATTACAGTCAAGCGGCAGTGTAAGAACTCAGTGCGAATAAGGCTAAAGTTCATACTAGTTAACTTTTAGAGAATGTTATGTTTCCTAGACTTTTCAAGCCAATCTGAATCGACTGAGACCAAGTTGAATATACTGACAGTGAGCATAAGCGATTCTCATTAGAATTTATATCGTAACATATGTACGTTGATGTGTACACTTAAAAAACGAGAATGTTAGTTTCAAAATAAAAAGTTAAAAAGTTAATCTAAATAGCTGAATAAGACCAGCAAATTGTCTTTAAAGATGTATATTTTAATCGGCAATAAATATATGCAAAAAAGTAGCTTAATCTCAATTCTTATTGATTTAATTGATAATCTATCAGGCACCCCTGCCTGACTGAGATATGTAAATGTATATTATGTTAATAAAATAATAAAAAAAAATTAAAATATTGGGAAAAATATGTGTGCGCGTAAACATCCCAGACTGGGTCTTTTGTCTGGGTATGTCTGGATATGTCGGGCTATTAAAACCTTCGTTTATCTCTTGCTTCTTGTCCCCACAAAAACTGCCGTTAGACATTACTTTATAGGGGGAGGATCTAGAATGCGATGATTCTCTCTTTTAATTTTACTTTACTTCTTATTAGCGCCATTTGCTATCTTGAGCGATTCTAATAAGAATCAATGCCGAAGCATGTGTAAGTAGTTTGGTGGTTGCTACTGATTACAGTTGACGTCCAGAAAGGACAGCTATGGTATTATACCAAGATTTATTTTGATTTTTTCGTCACCCTAAAGTTAGTATTTTAATTTTAACAGGATTTGCAATAATCTGACATATTAATTATCAAGAATCATAAAAAATTTAAAATTTTGATTATAGTCTTGAACTCTAACTGAAACTTTAGAAACTTTAAGTTTATCTTCACGAATAATTATATCATTTTATCAATTTAATTATACTTTAATATTATTAGGAACATTAATTATGTCATTGGTCATATTTTAATGATGGCGATATTTTAATAAAGGTACGTTGCAAAAAGGGCCAAAAAATGGTAATTTAATTTTTTGAGAAAATGTGGCGTTTAATTTGAATTTGGAAATAATATATATTTTTTCAAAAATTTCAAAATACTCAAAATTCTCATTGTTTTCGAAGTTTTCAAAAAAATTTAAACCTTTTTAAAAATATTAATTTTTTTACGGAAAATTGCAACAATTTACCTTAAGGCACGATGCCATGCACCACTAATTTTTTTCTATACTTTAGCATGTAAATAAATCCTCCAATTTTTGAACCTGTCTTATAATATCCGATATTGATGTTTCTTTAATAAGTAAAGGAAACCGCACGACGAAACGAATTCATAACCTTCTGCTGATACCACAAGACATGGTATGTAATAAAATTGTCACGTTTTCTACGTCCTAGACGTCGATTTGGAATGACATATTGACATTGACACGATGACATGACGACGTCTCAGTTCACTCGGTTTAATTCCGCTGACTAAGATATTTTGGATTCGATTCCTGATGCGATTTCGGATGTAGCCGATTCTGGTAATCGGGATAAAATTATACTATCTACTCAAAAATAGGATTTAGTTCTGATAAAATGTTTTCTTATAATAAGAAGTTTTCTCATAAACACTTCAAGTTCTCTACGTGCCTTAAGGCAAATTGCTGGAACTTTTCGTACCGTAATTTAAAATCTTGGTACGGAACCCAAAAAAATTTACACAAAATGTGTACACATTATTAAAATCTTTATAAAGTATCTGATAAGTTGATGTTCATATGGCTAATAAACATTTTTGACCACCAAATGATATTTTTCCGACTTATTTTGTCCATAACCGCTGGACCTGCCTTCCCAAAAACTTAATCAGTTCTTCATCTTGTCAATACAAGTAAAATGATTTTTGAATTATTAAAATCGGACGCTCCGTTCTCTTAAAAACTGAGTTTCGTTTTTGGCACTTTTTGCCACATATCTTCGGAACGGCTAGACCTGCCTTCGCCAAAAACTAATCAGCACGTCTCCTTATCAATACAAATCGAATGTTTTTTGTGTTATTCAAATCGGTTGATCTGTCATCAATTTTTTCTAAGGTATGCCAAAATGTTCAAAAACCTTTGAAACGTAAAGGTATATAAACATTTTTATTTTCGATTTTTTTGCGATTACTATAATTTACCCTACGCGAAGTTAAAAAGAATAAAAAATGTTTTTGAAACAGTGAAAAAATAGATTTTTGAGAATTATAACATTTTTGAAAAAAATTTACCTTCTTGAAAAATTTGAATTTTATACTTTTGCCACTTTTTTAAGTAGTCGTATTACGTTAGCTGCGTAGAAACAAAATATGAAATTGCTTTTATTTACATTTTATATTGGATCTCCGAAATTGCTGGACCTGCCCTCTCAAAAAATTCAGCAGTTTTTACCTTACCCACATGTAAGCAATTATAATAGTTATATTAGGACATCTGTTGAATCTGGTTACTCATTTTATGCCCTTTACTTTCAAATATTGTTGTTAAAAAAATCGTAATCTTACTTGTTGTTGAGATATCGGTGGTGCAATTTTTTACCCGCGGACCTTTAAGCCTCGCATATATATAAAATATATAGTTCTTTTATTGTAAGTATTATTTATACCAATAAGCGACCTATTTCTTAAAAATGTTTCAATTTATGTATTGATTTTCAGTAATCCCCAAGAAATTTATTCAAATACAGCTTCCAAGTTATAATTGCACTAAAACTACACTTGCGGATAATTTCTTCAATAAATTATATCTCAACTTTTTAACTTCATAACGAGAGAGCTTCCATCTCTGAATTTAATTAAAAGATTTTTTATTTATCGCAAGAATAAGGAGAACAAAGTTCTAATACGTTTTCTGTAATGAATATTCTCAACAAAAGCCGCATGCATAATTTTATACTGCTTCAGTGATTTGCAGGTTTTAAAAGTTGTCCATTCTTTTTAAATGAGATAAAGGATATTTTCTTAAGTTTTTCTTTTTTAATTTATGAAATGTCTAATTGGTTTATTTATTATTTTTGTAAATGTGGAAAGATATACATAACAATATTATTTTTTTTGGTTTGCTTATTACTATTCAAATTAGTGGCCCATGACATCAAGGCAAAAAATTGCTGGTACTTTCCGTATTAAAAAAAATAGATTGTTGAGAATTTTAATTTGTTTTGGAAAGTTTGAACTTTTTTTAAAGCAATGGCGCTGCATAGCTATTTTAAAGTCAAACTAGTGGGGCGCATGGCATCGTAC